CCCCTGCCCCCAGCTGCCCCTCCTTTGCCTTCTGCTGAAAAGGCAACCCCTCCACTTGCTAAGCTTGCAAAAAGCTCCAAATCTAGTTCTCCTCCCAAACCCAAACTGCCCAGCCCAGAAGACACAGCCTCTTCAGCCCCCATAGACTGGCGGGATCCCAGCCAGATGGAAAAACTGCGGAATGAGCTGGCAGCCTATCTTTGTGGCTCCAGGAGAGAGGACCGACTCCTCAATCACAGGCCAGACCCAGCAGTGGCCTCTCAGGACAAGAAGGGCCCTAGCTTACCAGCAAAGGAAGCTCCCTCAAACTTGCCAGAGAAGAAGTCTCCCCCAAGCTTTCCAGAGAAGGCTCCCCTAAGCTTGCCAGGGAAGGAGGTCTCCCCAAGTGTTCCTGAGAAGAGTCCCCACAACAGTAGCAGCCTACCAGAGAAGAGGGCCACCACCAACCTGACCCTCCCTCCTGTGGACTACATCGCTCAAGACTCCCAAACTCCCAGTGTCCAGCAGATCCGGGCTGAGCTGGAGGCCCGGCTTTCCTCATCGTCAGAGAAGGAAGCCAAGCCCAACTTACGGTCCATGGTGCCCAAACCCCTGCCAGAAAGAAACAGAATCTTTGAAAATGGGGCTGGTAATGGCAAATTCTCTAAGCCTATGGCCAAGAATCTGCCACCTGTATCCGTCAAACCCCTGCCAACCAGGCAACTCCAGCCCACATGTGGGCCAGCCACACCACCCAAGGTCACACCTGGGCCAGCCACACCACCCAAGGTCACACCTGGGCCAGCCACACCACCTAAGGTCACACCTGGGACAGCCATGCCACCTATGGCCTCCTCTGGGTCAACCATACTACCCAAGGCCACAACTGAGACAGTCACACCACCCAAGGCTACTCCTGGGTCAGCCACACCACCTAAGGTCACACCTGGGACAGTCACGCCACCTATGGCCTCCTCTGGGTCAACCATACTACCCAAGGCCACAACTGTGCCAGCAACACCACCCAAGGCCACCCCTGGGTCAGCCATACCACCCAAGGCCACAACTGAGACCGTCACACCACCCAAGGCTACTCCTGGGTCAGCCACACCACCTAAGGCCACACCTGGGCCAGCTACACCACCTAAAGCCACACCTGGGCCATCCATAGATATAACTCTGCATGCCACATCATCCCAGCAGATGGCAGAGAAGGACCTAGTTCCTCCTGGGCAGGGGGAGAAGCCAGTGGAATCTCAAGATCTTGGAGTGCCCTCTCAGCCAGAGACAAAGAGACCCACCTCAGAAGCCAGTAAGCTGCCTACACAGGGAGTCTCCTCTTCTCCAGCCTACCCACCAAAGACATCCTCTGTCCAAGATGAGGCACTGTATCTCTACAAGCCCCATTGCAGCCAGAACAGCCCCAGCCGAGAGGTTGCTGTGGTGATGCCCAACCTGGCCAGAGGAGAGATTACAGGTTCAGGGGAGCCTATAGAGGTGAAGAAACCCCAGGGGCTGCTAGCCAAGCCTCCTGTATCAGCCCCACCTGCTGATGAACTTCTCAGGCACCCAGTGACTGGGGAGGTGGTGGAGCAGGGCTCCCCTATGGCCCTGCTCCTTGCAGCCAGGCAGAGGGCACAGAAGGGAAGGCTTGGAGGGGCTGCCCTTGGTAGGGGTAGGTTGTCCCTGCCAGGGAGTCTCCGAGGCCACAGCAGCCCACCTGGCACAGGTTCTGACAGTAGATTGTACAAGGAGGGCCAGGTCAACTCCTTCACTGTAGTCCCCAAGTTATCAAAGGAGACCACCAAGGACCCCCAGCTGGTCTTATCAACCCAGCCCACCGTACTCAGTCAGTGGAAGCCCCAGCCCTGCAAAGACCCAGACGGCAAAGAGCCAAGCTGCTGGCACAAATGGACAAAAGCAGAACCCCAGGCCTCCATGGCCCGGGAAAAATCAGCTCCCTTCAACCACCCGCAGGGCTGCCCGCTGCCCAAGTCCTTCTCCTCCCCATCGTCTCCTTCCCACAAGAGGGAAGAGGAGTTCAGTTTTGAGGTCATCCCACCGCCACCTGAGTTCAGCAATGACCCTGATCCCCCGGCCCCGACTCTCCAGTATCCACGCCACCCAGGCTCCTCGCCCCGGAACAATTTCTCAGACTTGGGGCAGCCCCGGGACGTGAGCTCCGCGGCCTCCGTAGCTCGCGGTTTCTCGCACTTTCCTCCGGGTGCGCTCTCTGCCGAGGCCGGAGGCCTGGACCGCTTCTCAGCCGGTGGCCGCTCGCTCATCAAGAAGCGCCTATACGTCGGGGAGCACCACCGCAGCCCCGGGGTGCCCCACGGCGGCACCGGCCGCAGCCTGAGCTCCCCCAACTGCTTCGGTCCCCAGCCCGGAGGGCCCTTCGGAGCGTCTGGAGGCCCTGAGAAGCGACGCGTGAACTCGGTGAGCCGAGCGCCCCCCAGCGGTCTGCCAGGGCGGAGAACGTCCCTGGAGAGCACCCGGGGCGCGCACTATGCGGGCAACTCGGGAGAGACAAAGTACAAAGCGCCAAGCGGAGACTATGGCTTCGCCCCCGCTGCCAGCAGGTGAGCTGGGGCAGGGGAGGTGGGAGTGGAGGGGATGTTGCTGGGAACTCTCTCGGAACACAGAGAGCTGACCGTCAAATAATTTGGTTGTGTGGGTGGCCCAGACAGTTTGCGTGTGCTCGACTGCTGATCTAAAGGTTGGCGGTTCAGAATTTTGACCTACCAAATAAACAAATACAGTAACTGTGTAAGTGAAATTTGGTGGTCGTCTTCCATAAAGAGTACAACCAATAAAGGCCTATGGAGTAGTTTTACTCTAACGCGTGAGCTTGCCTTGAGTCGGAATCGACTCCACAGCAACCGCACGGGTTTTTGTTTTTCATTGTGGCTTTCAGGACATAGAGAACAGGAGAGGGGTCCATTTTGCCTGGACAGGACATTGTTGGTGATTCCCTTATCTGCTGCCTTCTCTCTCTCAATCCTCCTCATTCCACAAGCTCTCCTGCTTCTCTCTCTTCTCTCCGCCCCCTGGAGTCCCAGGGCTTCAGGTTGGGTGAGGGGGGGCGTGCGGATAAATCCAAATGCAAGCTGGAAGTGAAGCGCTCTAAATGGAAGGGCACTGGTCGTGTGGCCAGCAGTACCTGGACGGGAAGGGGAGCCTGTGTGTCTGCAGAACAAATACTGGCAACCTTAGGGTTCTACACTGATAAGCCCAATGTTTGTGGGGGCAGATACTACAGTGCTGAACCACATCGCTTCCTTTTGTGCCCTGGGGGAGAAGGGAAGGGCCATTAGCCAGCTGCAGGTATTAACCTTAGAGCTGTCTTTTTCCCCACCTCCAGGTCTACCCACAGAGCGCCCCAGTACAGCAGCCCCGTCAACACCTTCACTGTGAGGCCTGGCACCCGCCAACCCATCTCCTTTGCCTACCCTGGGGGCCATCGGAAAGCCACATCCTGAGCCTGGGCATGTCAAAGCACTACTCTGAGCAGCTGGATCTGGGCACTTGATTTGTGGGGGGTGGGAGGGTCACAGAGGAGTCTTTGTTCCCCAAAGACAGACAGAGGGACAAAGAGTGAGAGTCGGTGGCCCAGAGAAGATCAAGAGTGGGCTTCTGGAATGGCCATGGACTGTTTACAGCTGGGGGTGGGAGGGGAAAGAGGGAGGCGAGGAGGAGCCTTCAAGGGTTTTCACTATCTGGTACCATCTGCTTTAGCAAGAGTTAGTTAAAGCAGGTTTACAAGCACAGCCTCCTAAGCAAGGTTCTGAAAGCAAGGGGTGGGGCGCTAACTCTACATTGGAGCCCAACAGGGTGGCTGTAGTATGAGTTGGGATATAAGGAGCTACTCTTTAGCTTCAACCAGTCTACCAGTTGCCATTCAAAAAGTGATACCTGGGGTTTCCCACCATAGAAGCCACATTGAGATGGGACCAGGCATGTGCAAGGTCTGTGGAGAAGGTACTGAAACAAGTGTTTTGCACTGGCCATGGACAAGGATGGAAGGATTGATGGTTCATATTGCCCTGGGCCTGGCCTTTAACTACAGGGAAGCTTAGAGAAAGGAGGCTTGGCAAGTGTGAGATGAAAGGCAGATAAAAACAGTGCTAGGCCACATCTTTTGCTTTTGTGCCCCAGGAGAGATGGGAAGGGTGATGCTTAACCAGCTGCAGATATTAACCTCACCTCTCTTTCGCTGCCCACCTCCAGGTCTCCTCATAACACCCCTACTATTTTCTACTGAGACCTGTGTGGCCATGATTTTGGGGATTAGGCCTGAGGAGCCAGAAGACCCAGGACTTGGTACCAAAGGCCTTACATGGCCAAGTCCCATGTGGAATTAGGAGGAGGCATCATCCCCAAACCACCCCTCCCAACAAGGTCACAAATATTACTGCGGCCTTAAAATAGGTAGCCAGGATGCTAGAAGGTCATGGAGAGTAGGACTACAGGCCTGCGAGGAGTTTGATCCTCATGGGGGTTGTGTTTTGGAAAATTAAAGAGTAGCGGGACTGGACCGTAGTTTAGAGCAGGGGAAACCTATCAGTAGGGTGGCCATTCTTCCTTTGCCTGGGCATTCAGGTCCATGCCTGGTTTCCAGTGAATTAGACCCCCTTCCACTTTCAAAAATGCCCTGGTCTGTCTGGTTGATACATGGGCATCAAACTTATCAGGAAACAATATTCCTTGGTCTGTCTTCCCTATCTTCAGGTTCTGGGGGGCCAAATTCCTGGGACCAGGCCAAACTGGGCTCCCTTGTTAAAGAGGAAGGGCAGTGGTCGGTCCACCTCAAAGAAGCAGGCTGGTAGAGGGCAGCCAGGAAGCAGTTCCCTTTGGGGGGTGAAATGTGAGATCATTAGAATTTGTGGGAACCAGGACAATAGATGAACAGCTTCAGGGAAAGAGAGTGCCAAGGCCAGCCACCCTGGCCTTGTGTCAGGATTGGGTTACTTGTGTTCAAGAAGCGAACCTCACCCCGTTGCCAGCACTCTATGTATGTGTATGTATTTTCCCTGTACAATGTTTTATAAAAGAATTCCCTAATTTATCTGTTGTGTTAAGGCTTGAGGGGTGGGGTGTGGACTCCTAGCTGTATATTTCTCTGGGGTTAGTGGGGAAGGGCTGGGTCTCACTTGGCTTGGGAAATAAACAGGCCAGTTTTGACTGGTCTCCAGCTTTGCAGCTGTGGACTGATGACTCGCAGCTACTGGGCAGTGAGGAGAGGTTGGGAAGATCAGCCGAGGAGGGCTGAACACAGGGTGGAGGTTGAACTGGTGAGCCATTTTGCTGGGCCAGACTTTTTCTTCTGACATGGAGGTTTTCTGGGTCTCCTTCTCTATGAAGGAGCAGAATTGAAGACATGAGAAAAAAAAAAACAAAAAACCTGAGTCCTTAAGCAAGTCTCTGACTCTCTGAACCTCAGTTTCTTCTTCTGTAAAATGGGCATGATAATAATACCTACCTCATGGCTGTGGTGAAGATTAAAGACATTAATTTAATAAGTATGTGAGTGTTAGATGGTAGGTACTGTACACTTAACACACCAACGTGACCCCAGCCCATGTCAAGATTACAATCTAGTGGGGGGAGAAAGGATAAAAGGAGAACACACAGAACCATCATAAATTGTGATAGAATAATGGGATGGGGGAGAGGAGTGGATTTACTTTAGCAAGGTGGTCAGGGAAGGCCTCTTGAGGTGGTGACGCTTATCTATAGATTTAGCAAAGCATTCTACACACACCTGATACTCAGTAGTTGCTCAATCAGTGGTATCTTTGGTGGGTGATGAGTACCTTACATTTGTGTGTGGCCTGTCATAGCTTTCCATAAAGCTTTGACGTGGTATCTTTTCTGAACCTCTTATCTCCCATACCTATTCCACAGAGCTGTTCCTGCAACATAGTACACACACACACTTTTTCCAGAAGAGGACGTCATCTCAAGGCAATGGAGAGAGAGCAATCTGTTTCCTCCTCTGAGTCCTTTGTGGGATGTGGTTAGAAAAGGGAGACTGGGAGGATGATTCATTCATTTGACAAATCATCCTTCCAGGAAGGGCCTCCCAGGCCTCTCCCATTTCTGGGGCTTCCTTATTATCCTGTCTCTTACTGCCCCACATTCCTTCATCATGATGCCCTCATCCTGGTAACACAGAGAAAATAGGTCCAGGAGGAGCCCAGTAGGGCTTGGGTCACTGCTCTTACCTGCCTGGTCTCTCCTTACCTTTCCTTCACCTCATCTGATATAAGACAGGCAGCAGAGAGTAGTTTTGTTAACCAAGGGCCACAGGGTGGATGACTAGGGCCACATGTCCTGGCTCTGTCTCTGACCAGCTATGTGGTCTTGGGTCTCAGTTAACTCATCTTAAAAGTGGGGTCAGGGGATGGACTTGCGCTGTGGGTGTTAAACTCTGCTGGGACTCGGACGTCTTTGAGAAGCTGATGTGTGCTGGATCCTTACCCCAGAAAGATGCTGTATGTGCAGTTTTACATGGTATTTCAGGCAAGCCACAGATCCCCCACAGACGGGTTCCATGGACTGTGGGTTGAGAACTCTTGGATGTAACTGTGGTCACGTTAACCACCAACACATTTACTCAAAATGTGTTAGGTGAGTTAATACTCACAATTCCATTTTGTAGATGAGGAAATTAAGGCTCCAAGAAAAGCAGGTCGCTCAATAGAGCCTAGCTGACTCCCAACCCTGTGTTGTATACACTTCATCACAGCTGCCTCCCTTCTCACCCATTTACCTTTCTCCCAATCATGCTACAGCCCCAATTTATATCATTCAATCTGAGTAGGGGCGGGGGAGGCATCAAGTAGGGCAAAGCTGCTCTGGGTATCTGAAAACGCTGATGGTGTGGGCAGAGCAGTTTAACCACACCTTGATTTCTGAAGCCTGCCACACCCCAGTGGCCAGCACCCCATTTCTCTTGTGTAGCCCTGCCCAGCCCTGGGCAGCAGCTGGGGTAGGTCCCAGGGAAGGCCGTGCTAGAAGCCTGGGGTCTGGCATCAGCAATGTGTGAGGAGGCCTGTGTCCCAGACCTTTTCTGGGTAGACTTGCTTAAGGAAGAGAGGTTTCCTCTCACTTCCTGTAAGCCTTGGGCTCCCTTGGGGGGGAGGGGACTAGATAGAAGCAGCTTGGAACTTGGAGGTGTTAGAGGTGTCAGGGAGAGGCCACCGCACTATTGAGCTGCAGGCCTGCCCCTGCCTGGTCACCACACCTGCCGACCCCCAGCGGCCTGTGACTGCTTCCATCTCTGCGCTCGAGGGTGGTGCTGGCATCCCATCATTAGGCAGCTACCGGACAGGCAGCCACATATACCAGGAATAGAGTCTGAGCCTCCTGCTTCTGCAGCTCTAGGGATGGCCAACTTCTGAGGACCTGTTGCTGGGGCCTCTGGGGATGTTTTTGGCCAGGAAGGTAAGAGAAGGTGCGTATTTAGGGGTGTGGGGAGACATAGGCAATGCATTCTGCAAGCTCCCTCATTTACATAGAGAACTCTGCACTCCCAGCCCCATTCTCAGAGCCCCAAAAGTGTCCTTAACTGTTGGCACAGAAGAGACACTTCTGCCACACCTCCCCCTTGAGAACTGTTCTCTAAACTTCTGTAGAGTGACTCCCTCTGAACCGTCCTTTGTCTTCCATGCCCTTCCTCCACCAGAAGGCTCGGCCTCCCTCCTGCGCTCTCCAGTCCCTTCTTTGCAGTTTCTTCTTCAAACTGAGGGAGTTTCACTCCCCCTCTCACTCGCGCCTGAGCTTCATGTAGCTAACTCTATCTAACTCAGAACGTGGCTCCTGGACACTTCCATGGGGAAGCCTGGACCTCTACTCCATTTCAGCTTCATCCAAAGGGATTACTCTTTTCTAACTTCCTTCTCATGCAATTGTGAGATCAGAGACTGCATAGGAAGGTAACCACAGGGCAGAAGTGGGAAGAGAGCTGTTACATTGTGGGGATTGGGATCAGTGTTACAAAACAAAATATGTATGAACTGTTGAATCGAAAACAAATTTGCTTTATCCACTTTCACCTAAATCACAATTAAAAAAAAAAAAAAAGATGCTTCTGGCTGATGGGCTGGGACACAATACCTTCCAAGTGGGAGTGATGGTACCAGTGAAGTTGTTCTGATCCTAAAAAAGGGTGAGGGCCAGCCAGCTACCCAGAGGGACCAAGTAGTTGAACCTGTGGGCTCGGAACCATGGTCCCGGGGGATATCAAACACAATTGCATAACATATTATGCAAAACATTGTTCCATCTCCTACTTTGGTGAGTAGCACTGGGATCATAAAAGCTTGCAAGCAGCCATCTAGATGCAACGATGGATCTCTCCTTGTCCAAAGCAAAGAAGAATGAAGAAAACCAAAGATGCATGGGAACAATTAGTCCTAGCAACTGGGACACCATGTGATCTGCAGCCTATACAACTATGAGAACCAGAAGAACTAGA